CCCCCCGCGCGCCGCGCCGCGGGCCGGGTCCGGACGCGCCTCCCTCCCCGCAGACCCCTTCGCTGATGCCACTAAGGGTGACGACCTGCTCCCGGCCGGGACTGAGGACTACATCCACATAAGGATCCAGCAGCGCAACGGCAGGAAGACGCTCACCACGGTGCAGGGCATCGCCGACGACTATGACAAGAAGAAGCTCGTGAAGGCCTTCAAAAAGGTGGCGGGGGCCGGCGGGGCGGGGCCCGGGGGCGGGACGGAGCCGGGCTCTCGGGCTCCACGCAGTACTTCCCTTTCTGTGGCCGCTCATTCATTTGCAAATCAGTGTGGGACAGCCGGCGGCTTCGCGAGGCAGCCTGTTTCCTAAGGATAAGAAACCTAGTGAAGTAGTGGGTTTGTGCTCACGGTGAAATACAATCTCCTAAGCAAGTTACTGTGTTTGACTAAGTGATGTTTGTAAATGTACTTTCTCTAGAAATTTGCCTGCAATGGTACTGTGATTGAACACCCCGAGTACGGTGAGGTTATTCAGCTCCAAGGTGACCAGAGGAAGAACATTTGCCAGTTTCTCTTGGAGGTGAGTGGTTGGGTGTCTTATGTGAAATCTTCACATGGCTTCCAGAATTAAATGCTGCATGCGTTATTTCCTCCTTTCTAAAAATCATGTGAGTGAAGTAGGTAGTTGAGTAAAATACAGAGTCGACGCTCATTTCGAAGGCAGTAGCGCCTCGTCCCCAGGCGTGCGCAGTGTCTCTCACCGCGGGTGTGGGGCCTGCGCGGGCGGGGGTTGTGCTGCCGACAGCCAGGGCTCAGACAGCCAGGGCTCAGCGTCGCACCAGCTGCCGGCTGATTGTTCTGGCGACTGCTCAACGACTGCTCAAGGCTTCTCAGAGATTAACACGATGCCTCAGGGTACTTTCTTATTTCACAGGTTGGCATTGTCAAGGAGGAACAGCTTAAGGTTCATGGGTTCTGAAATGAGCCTAAACACATGCAGAATTTTTTGAATGATTTTGTTCTCCAAACCCAGCTTGGCTGCCTTGTGAAATGATTCTCTGCAGTGAACGGACTTTTCGTTTATTCAGTCATTCAAACTTCCATTCCCATCAGCATGACAGGAAACGTGGGACGTGTAGGCTGGAAACACATAAGGAAATTGCAGTCAGATGGTAACGAAGCCCTGTATTCATCTTAACATGTTTCCAATGGAAAATACTTTGTTTTGAGTGTTTGTTTATTGTTTATTTTCAGTTGACTAAATGTTTTTTGTTGTATTAAACCTTGTATGTTGCAGCTTAACAATAAAAAAATCAGTTCTTTTATGAGCTGTTATGCTCCCCAATCTAAGCAAATAAGGTACCCGTTTTGTCTTTCGTAGTTGGACCTGTCATTGCACACTTTCTGATTAGCTTCAGTTGCTGTCACCCCCAGAAATGCAGGGAAGCTTTTATTATACAGTGTGTTTTTCATTTATTGATTTCTAAATAAGAAAGCGAGCAGGAACATAAACTCACCCAGAGCCACTACTCGCTGCAAGCCAACTAAAAGTTGTCACAGATCTTACCAGAAAGTGATGTACAAACTGAAGATCTCAGCAGAGAAGAGTCCCTTTGTGCGTGTTACTGGCCTTCACTGTCCCTAAGTGCCAGGTACTGTCACAGCTGGGACCCAAAGTACATCTGAGCCCAGGTGCTTCTCTGCAAGTACAGGTGGTGGCATGACAGCTGTCCTGGACCTTGGGGCCATGGAGTGCTGGGAAGGGGTGCTGGCCAGAGGAAGCAAGAGTCATGGCTGCCCGCACAGGCTGCGGAGGTGGGAAGACCTGGTAGGAAGATTCGGTTGCAGCTTGGCCTCCAGGTCCAGGCTCCGGTGCTCTCAGGAGCAGTAGGTGTTTGCTCGGGTCCAAGCGACAAACCAGCCCCAGAGCAAGGCCCTGGTAGCATGAGCCGTTCCGCAGTGCAGTCTGGTGTGGGGAGCAGTCTGGCCATGCTGTCTGCTCCCAGCAAGGCCCGCCCAGGCATGATTCTGTTTAGGGTCAGCCTCCATGAGGTTTGCCTCCTGGTGGAGCGTAGCAATGGGCTTTGTCAGTTTGTTGCCCGCTCTTGTCCCCAGGAAAGACTCAGACTGTCAGAGGTGAGATACCAAGACGTAGTGCCAAATTGGGCAAACTCACTTCTGGAAGGTTATAATTTTTCTTCTGGTTTTTCTTTTTTTTTTTTTTTTTTCCCAGTACTGGGAATCAAACTCACTTGCACTTGCCAGGCAGCCGATGTTCCGCTGAGCTAAATCCCCCAGCCCCTTCTTTTGGTTTTTCTGAGACAGGGTCTCACTATATAGTCCAGGCTGGCCTTGAGCTTGAGACAACCCTGCTTCATCCTCCTGAGTGCTGGGATTATAGGGTGTGCCACTATGCCTGACTTTGGAAGGTTAGAGGATCCAGAGGTTTGGGAGCATTTTCTGATGACCTAGAAGCCCAGCTTTTCTATTGGTGACAGTCCGCGACACCCCCACCTCTTGTTGAGTGCTGTGGAAATGGAAATGCAGGCATGTAACATCCAGTCACATAGTCTCCGTAAGGACCTTGCTGGGGACGAGCCGATGCTGAGACAGGGACCCCTTGTCACAAAGCCATTGCGGAGCTGTGCGTCAGTGAGTGGGGTCACAGACCTGAGCACGTCTGCCCTGGGGTCGTAGAGACTGCCGTGGAGAGCGCAGCTCTTCAGCCTGGAGCCCCACATGCTGCCTGGACCTGCTCCCCTGGGGCAGCCCCGTCCCCCTGCAGAGCAAGCATCGGGAAGAGCGCCTCACACCTTTGGTACACTCAGTCTCCTCCTCGGATGGACTCAGCATCATCACCCTCCACTGGAAAAGCTGATCAGGAGCCTCAGACCTGGATAAAACTGACCACTCTCGCCTCAGCTGTGAGAGGCAGGTGGTGAGTAACCGAGCAGGGAAAAATGTGGACAGGTGCAGCTGAAATAAGTCGCCAGCCAGCCGTCCTCGCCCTGTGTGGGAAGGTTGCAGCCTGCAATTTCTTTCATTAGTAATTTATGCTTCAAGGTGCAAAATGGAAGATAACAGAGGTGAGTCTGCCCATGGGCTTCTGGACTTGGAGGTCTTAGCAGGCCACTAGGAAATCCAGACCTCTGCTGAGGCTCAGCCAGCGTGAAAGTTCCCTCTGCCTTCGATCTCTGCCCTCCGAAGCTGTGGAGGCCAGGGACACAGCTGCTACCCCGGCCAAGGCCAAGACGCAGAGCTGACCGCAGCCCCCAGGAAGGGGCAGCCCTGTCTGCTCGTGATGGCAGTTAGCCAGAGCAGCTGGAGGTGCGGAGCCAACGGGGCTCCAGCTGCAGGAAGAGCCACACGGGTAACAGCGGGGCCAGGGAGGCGGTCCCGCTGGACCCAAGGCCAGGGGCCTCCCAGGCAGAGGCCTGAGCGCTAACGGGCAGGTTGTGATGCTTGTCGGGGTCAAGGGGCCTCAAAAGGCAGCTGGAATTAGGAGCAAAACCACATCACAGCCAGCCTGAAGTCAGCCAGCCCTCCTGCTGAGATAACAGCTAGGGGAGCAGTGGCTGCACTCCTCCTCCCTCCAGGAAAACCGGAACAACAGGAGGCCAAGCTGTCCTTGCACTCTCACCCCGGCACAGGTGGGTTGCCCGGGGGTTCTGCCCACTCGGACCTCTCCTGCACTCACCATCCCCAGAAGCCTCCGTTGCATGGGAGCCCACCAGGAGCAGGGCCTGCTGTGCTCTCAGCTCAGCTCCCTCCCAGACCCAGGATGCCCAGTCTCAGGGCTGTCATCTCAAACCAGGGCAGACCCCACAGCCACACACTCAGAGCCAGGCGCTGCTGATGCAAGGCACAAAAGAGGTCTGATGTGCAATGCCAAAATCCTAGCCAGTGAGGTTGGTGTGCTCTGGGAGGCTGAAGCAGGAGGATTCAGCAACTTAGCAGGACTGTCTTAAAACTAAATAGTATGGGGGACATAGCGCAAAGGGCCTAGCCAAACTCCTCTACAGGGAACCCAAGTGACCCCAAGCTCCACGCTGCACTTGGAGGGTTCCAGAGAGCCTCGGGACCCGCGGTGATCCAGAGGGAAGCTAGCTTAGCCCCTGCTGTCCCCTCAGTTCTGGGACCTAGACCCACCTCCCGAGCCACTGGGGTGACAGCACGCAGTCTGGGGCAGGGCGCGAGCCCCAGCCCTCAGGGAAGGAAGGAGGAGGACCCTGCGCGTCAGAAAAGCTCATCCGCTTGTCAGCAGGCCCTGCCTGCAACGCTGGCACCACTGGTGTGTTCACAACTTGGAGAACCTTAGCCCAGCGTGCAGACGGAGGCACACTTGGGCACAGGTGCCAGGGAGAGAACGCAGGACAAGTCACGGAGGGCGGCCCCTGGGCAACCCGGTCCTTTGCCGCCCCCTTGCGGCCACTCTGAGCACCGGGGTCCCAGCAGGGCAGCCGCTTAACCAGGAAGGTTGGGTGAGTTTTTTTGTATTTGTTTGTTAAAGTAGGGTCTCACTGTGTAATTCAAGCTGGCCTTGAACTCACAGGGGTCTTCCTGCCTCAGCCTCCCGAGTGCTGGGATTACAGGCTTGCACCACCACACCTGGCATGGTTAGGTTGTTGATAAGTGTGATTTTACCATACCTCAGGTGTCTTCCAGGGCTGGAGCTGGGCTACCCCTTGTGACTGCAACTCACAAACACGAGTTACAACTTGCTGTCCCTGAGAGAGAGCACCATTTCCAGGACTTGCCCTGCAGATCGATAAAGTCACTGTCTACATGGTGGCATCACAGGAGTTCATTCTAATGTAAACAGAGACTTCTGCTATGCCTTCGCAGAGTGGGGATCCAGCTGGACAACAACCAACACTGCTGGCTGTCATTTGAGGGGACACAGTCATTTCTACACAGCTGGAACACACAGTGCCTCCCCTTAACCTGACACACAGGGTAACATGCCTCTGTGCTACCAGGTTTTGGGGTGCTGCGGCCTCCTCCTGGGGGTGGTTTCCAGGTCACTTCCGTCCTGAAGAAAGAATTGGTCAAGACAAATGCAAATGGTAGCAAAGTTTTACATTTACTAAAGGTAGGAAAAGAAACAGGCTCTTCAGAGCAAATCTGGGCCAAGTCAAGTAGGAGAAGCGCACCCTGCAGCGCCAGGGCAGCCGCCGCCACAGGAGAGAAGGCGCAGGCCAGCAGCGCGGTGGGCGCCGACCTTTGAGACCTCTTCTCCTCGGGCTGGCGTCCTCTGAAAAACCCACTGTTCTCACGGCGCCCGATGCAGGGCTGTGGGAAGCATTCTACAGAGCTGCTGGGGTTCTAATGAGCAGGTCTCGCCCCTTGCCCAGCCAGGTTTCCCACAGCCCAACCCCTGCCTCTTCTGGGCTCCCGAAAGCATTGCTTAGAGCAGCTCGAGTGCCACAGCCGGCTGTTTGTATCAAAGCTCTGAAAGGTTCGCTGTCCCTGATTGCGAGGTCACCTGAAGGCTTTGGTCTGGGAGAAGCAGTGACTGGGCTCCCTCCAGTCCCTCATGGCCACACAATGCATGGTGCTATTCCACTGAAGAACCCAGGACCGTCAGGCATGCATGTGCATGCTGAAATCCTAGCACTCTGGGAGGCTGAGGCAGGAGGATCAAAGTTTGAGCCCAGCCTGGGCAACTTAGTGATTTAGTGAGAGCCTGTCTCAAAAAAAAAAAATGTTGGCAGTGTACCTACCTCAGTGTGAAGGCCCTGCAAGGGGAAAACCCCGGCATGGTGTGGTGCGCACCTGCAGTCCCAGCACTCAGGAGCTGAGGCAGGAGGATTGCCACAAGTTCGAGGCCAGCCTGGGCTCCATAGTGAGTTTAAGGCCAGCCTGAACTGCATAGTGAGATCCTGTCTCCAAAAAAAAAGGGAAGAAGGAGAAAGAAAGGGAGAGAGAACAGGAGAAGAGGGCAGGAGGAGGGAGTGGAGAGGGGCCCAGAACAGGGCTCGTCTGGAAGCCCAGTGACACCAACACTCACTGCAGAGCCCGCCTGCCCATGGAAACCAGGAACCGGAGCCACACCCCAGGGTTTCGGTCCCGAGCCCAGGGAGGTGTGGGGAGAGGCCCGGACTACGCAGCCCCACAGCGTCTAGAGGTTTTACTTCTGAAACTCAGTGTTCCTCAGCCACAGGCTCCTCAGCCTGTCCACCATCACTGAGTACGGCCCCGCACGCTGGCTTTCCCTAGGTCACTCACGAAAATAGCAGATTCCTTGTCGGCCTGGGCTGGGCGATCTCCACGGCCAGCTGGTTGGGCGAGGCCACATGGAAGGTGAGCGAGCTCGGCCTGCTGTGGCCGTGTCTGAGGCTGTGGTCGCGGGCGGATGGGACGAGAGGAAGCTGTGCGCACTTTCGAGCCTCAACTACGCTGGGCTGGAAGGGGTTGAGCGGCCGCCGCCCCGGTGGCCGACACCAGCCTCTCCCGTCCCTGTCGGGAACTCGTTCCAGCGATTCCAGTGACTGCCCAGGGCTTTGGGCCTTCCAGGCTCGGAGGGCACTGCGTCTGGGGTTTCTCCTGTTCTGCCTCTGGACCCTTGGGCTTTCAGACTTTCAGGTGGCCGCAGTGGGCTGTCCGACCTCTGAGCCTGTACACTACCGAATTCCCCACATACTCAGGGCAAAACTTGGTACCAGGAGTGGTTCTAGAGAAACAAAATGCGGGGATGGATTTCCCGACTGCTGCAGTCTCCGGAGCTGGCTGTCTAACTCTGTGAGCTGAGAGGCTGCCTCAGGACACACACAGCTTCCGTGCCTGTGAAGCCCCTAACTCACCACCTGTGGGACATGGGGACTTGGTGCCTGCACACAACACCCATGCACACTTTGGGGAGAGTGAGAAATGTAAGCCAAGCGTGGTGGCACACACCTGTAATCCCAGCACTCGGGAGGCTGAGGCAAGAGGCTTGTTGCAAGTTTGAGATAAAGTGAGCTCAAGGCCAGCCTGAACTGCATAGTGAGACCCTATCTCAAAAAGACAAAAAAAAAAAAAAAGGTAACAAGACTTCAGGGTGTTCTTGGTGTCTCTGGACAAAGTAAAACAGAAAATAACCAGCTCAAAGATTCACACTCCCAGCTCCAGAGGCCCGAGGAGAATCCAGAGGCTTCTCGGTGGGTTTGAAGAAGCGTCTCCTCTCCGTTAGCCACAGGGCTGAAGGTGCTGAAAACCAAACAAAACCCTGGCCCGGAGAGGGGCTGTTAGGGTGCAGTCCAGTGCTCTGCCGGCACTGGTTTCTCCAGGGGCAGAGGCCACCCCAGCCTCTGCGGCGGACCCCACTCTGCTGTGCAGACAGTAATGACTGCCCCGCCCCCAAGCCAAGCTGGGCGATGCCGACCTTGCCGCCCACTTCTGCCTCTAGACCAGCAGGCCCTGGCAGAGCAGGTCTGCCACGCTGCCCGGGTGCTCTCGGCCTTCTGATCCTACAGGCGGAGGTCTAGGGAACGCGTATGGGAATGGATCCAAGGGTGGGGGCTGGTGGAGGGAGGGACACAGACCCGGCTGGGCGGAGCTTCTTGCCGTGGGCCGGCTAAGCAGAGGCTCTGGGTTTGAGGGCGCCACACGGAGTTGAGAAAGGAATTGAGAGTTTATCTGGCTGCTTGGCTGAGGTGTGGCCCAAGGGTGGCCGCTGCGGGAGAGGGCCGGCGTCCCTCAGTTTCCGGTTGGGCAGAGCTACTGAGAGCTTCACCAGGGAAGACCCAGTCGTGCACAGGATGGTGACCCCGTGGGCCGAAGTGTGTGTGGCCTTGCTGTCTCCTTGGAGAAGGGCTGCGGTCCAGGAGACACGTCGGGTGCCAGGGTGCCCAGGGCGGGCTTGCGGCCAATCCTCTTGGCGGTCTTCGTGACTGGACGGAGAGCCCCCCAGGAGACGTGCAGATGCTCCTGAGCATCTGTGGGTTTCCAGGGCAAGTGGCTCGGCTTGGGGGCGGCCTGCCTGGAGGAAGCCATCCAGTCACCCTCACACTCAGTTCTGCCTGGGCTGCGGCCGCCACCCCTGTGACCCGCAGACCCGCATCTTCAGCCTCTGCACACTGCGCAGGGCTCACACCGGCACTCTCCAGGGAGCGTCAGGGCCCCGCTGCCACCACGGCCTGTGTCCCCTTATTCTCTGGCTCCCAGCTTGGCCCAAGCGGCTGCCAGGTCGCCGTCTCTCCTGCCCTGTGGACACTGGGCTCTGCCGCCTCCCCCCGTGTCAGCCAACCCAGTGCGCCCCCTTTCATCATCGCTGGCCTGCTCCCCAGAGAACCCGGCGGGGCAGCAGCCGGTGCTGGGTCCGATGTGGGCTCTGCACAACTCCGCGGCTGCCAGGGTGATGCCCTCACCGCCTCTCCCAGCCCCGCACCCCCCTGTCTGTGCCCAGCCCCTCGCTCACCAGCCTTGTTGGGAAGACCGCAGCCAGGGGGCTGCAGGAACATGCTGGTCCTTCTCCCCGCTTCACCCCGCCTCTGCCCTATCCATCCTGAGACCCTGACTCTCCCCCTCCCACCTGCCCAGCAGGGGGCTCTACGCCACCCCACCCTGTCTGCAGTGAGCGGGGCGCCCTGGCCGCCCTGGCCGCCCCCCCCCCATGCCCCGCGTGCGTCTGCCCTCGGGCGTCTTGGTCAGACGGGAACGTCCTCTCGCGCCGCCCATCTTTGCACAGAAGGGAGAAGCTCTTCCAAGGGTAGGGAGCCAGGCGTCCCCTGGGTATAGAACGGAAACCTCAACCCTAACCCGACTTCAGCACAGATGCTGAACTGTCCTGCGCCCCGAAGTCCGCCTCTCAGCAGAGAGCACGGCCATCCCATCGCTGTCCGAGCCTGAACGTCATCCTCGGTGACTAGCCATCTAGCTCCGCCGGATCTGAGTCGGTCTCCTGTGTCCACTCCCACAACCTCCTTGGCCTCCTTCCTGCCCCATGCCTCGCCCCCCTGCCTGAGTGCCGCCGCTGTCCCCTGCTCCGGCAGGAAATCAGAGTGCGCAGCGTCCTTGATGCTCCGGGGCGTTTCTTGGGCATGAGCCCCTCACGTGGCTCCCAGGCTGCACAGCTCGCTTCGGCCTGCTCCGCCTCACCCGCGTGCGCAGCGTCCCGGACACACTGTCCTTGACCTCAGTGTGCCCTCCACCCTCAGCCTGCCCAGTGGACTTCTGTGTATTCACAAAGTCGTGCAGCCGTTTCCATGTCACAGGACCTCTTGTGTGATCAGTGATCTTTATCTACTGACGTACTGGTTAGTGGTGCTGGCATCTGCCTGTACATTGCAGAGTCGCACAACATATATAAACAGCCAGGCATGGTGGTACACATCCCTTACCCGGCACTCCAGAGGCTGAGGCAGGAGGATCACAAGTGTGAGGCCAGTCTGGGCTACGTAGCAAGACCCTGACTCAAACCAAAATGTATATGAACTGTTTATTCTGAAAAAGGGTTTTGCTTGCTTTTCTTGCTGTCGTCTCTAAATACAAGTCCCGTCACGGCAATGTGACACATCCTTTTGCTGTACTAAGAGTAATACCCATGGAAGTCTCAGAGCTGCAGGGCTCTGCCACAAGGACATGCTGTGCGTGCGCGCGCGCGCGCGCGCACACACACACACACACACACACACACACACACACGGGCAGGAGAGCGCCTGGAACCCAGCAGGCTGCGATCCCACCAAGACCGCTGCTGGCAGACGCCGACGTGAAGGGCTGCCCTGTACTCAGTTTACGCGGCCATCTGAAAACAGGAAAGCATATCCTCACTGTCTGTTCTCGAGGGAGGCTGGGGTGCAGACGCCTAGCTGCACAGAGTCCAGGCCAGAAATGCAGCCGAACACGGAGATTGCCCACCCCAGTGGGACGGGAACGAGCGCTGTGATTCTGGGTGGACCGTCAGCGCAGCCCTGGTCCTCAACCCCGGCTGTGCAGCCTGCGACCTCCTCCCCCACACGCAGCTTCCGCACCCACAGTGCGGGGATGACGGTGACACAGGTGACCAGGTGACCTCGGGGACACTCAGGCGTAGCAGGGTGCTTGGCAAGGGTCTGCAGGTTAAGACATTACCTTTTAATACAACCAGCAGAGCGCACAGGTCCTGTCAGCCGTGTGGAGACGCAGGTGAGGGTGGGGAAACGTGGAGCTGGGAAGGGTGTGTTTCATCATGCTGAGGACGTGTCCAGCGAGGACCAGGAACAGCAGGAAGCTGCAGGGCCGGAGTCAAGAGACAGCACTGAGCTACTGCGGCAAAACAGCAGAAAACCGGCCGGGCACAGTGGTGCGCGCCTGTGATCCCAGCACTTGGGAGGCTGAGGCAGGAGGACTGTTGCGACTTCAAGAACATCCTGGGCTACAAAGTGAGCTCAAGGCCAGCCTGAGCTGCATAGGGAGACCCTGTCTCAAAAAGAAAAAAAATTTTAAAAAATCAGAAAACCAACACAAGGACTCACCCGAGCCCCCAGGACCCCAGGCCTGCAGGAAGCAGAACCACAGGCCCCGAGTCCGGCCTCCTCTGCATCGCAGTTCTGACCCCTCGGCCCTCCCTCCAGAAATCTTGTGTGGTCAACGCCTCCCCTCCTGAGGGCGGGATCCCCAAGCCCCAGGACCTCAGGGACGTGCGCCGCCCCCTCAGCCCTGTGCAGGGACCTCACCTCCTCCTGGCGTCCCGCCCCTTCCAGCCCTGCGCCAGCTGCTCCAGCCTTCGGTGGGAACAAGAACCGAACCAACCCCGAGACAGACGCGTCCTCGGCTGCGCCCGCGGCCCTTCTCGCGGCCGGGCTGCGGCCCCTGTCTCTCCGCGTTCGCGCCCTTCCTGCTGGTTTTTCTGGGTCGGGGCGCTCGGTCTCCAAGCCCCGGCGCGGGCTCTGCCCCTCGCCCCTCGGCCATCCGCGCCAGGTCCGGGCCTGTCTCCCTGCCGCGTCCTCCGCCCGCAGCTCCGCGCCGGCTTCCACTCTTTCCGAGCACCCTCGAGGGTGCGCTGTGCCCTCGCCCCGCCGGCCTTGCTCGGGCTGTGTCCTCTGATGCCCGCCGCGGGTCCCCACCCGGGGCCGGCCCCCTCGAAGTCCTCCCAGCCCGGAGCTGGCTCCTTTGCACGGCTTGCAAAACAACTTCAAAAGTACACGTGGGGACTCGGAGTGTTACCTGGAATCGGAGTGCGCTTCTCGTCCCTCGTTCTGGCGCTTCCGCGGGGCGCGACGGCCGGGGCCCCGACTGCCCGGCGCGCGGGTTTGGGGCCTCGACGCCGCGAGGGACAACGTCAGGTGCAGGACCAGGCCCGGCCCGCGGATGGCGCCGCCC